AAAATTTTGCAGATTTGGAGATCACTTATTCAGGCTCTGAAGGTGAAGAAGTTATTGCTAAAGAAATTGAGAAAAAGGATTTTGATGATGTTCAACCATAAGTTGTTAAATTTCTGACTCCTCTGAGGAATCACATACAAAGATCTTCACATTCTGAAGAATTGATTCTGGGTAACAAGACAGAACAGGTCAGAACCAGATCCTCTTTCAAACCTTCTAAAGAGACGTTTGTGGGTTTGTTGTCCCTCATTGAACCCACATTTGTTGATGAAGCGCTTCTGGACACATAGTGGATTCTGACAATGCAAGAAGAACTTAATCAATTTTCCAAAAATGATGTGTGGGATCTAGTGCCTAGACTCAGAGGTACTCATGTTATTTGAACCAAGTGGGTCTTCAAAAATAAACTCAATGATAAAGGAGAAGTGGTAAGAAACAAGGTTCAACTAGTAGCACAAGGTTATATCAACAAGAAGGAATCGACTATACAGAAACTTTTACACCAATTGTTAGGTTATAGTTTATTTGTCTCTTAATTTCTTTTGCTGTTAATCATGACATCATATTGTATCAAATGGATGTTAAGAGTGCATTTTGAATGGTTACATAACTGAATAAGTATATGTACACCAACCTTCTGGGTTTAAAAATCATAAAAATCTATATTTTGTTTTTCAAACTTAAGAAATCATTGTATGGTCTGAAACAAGCTCCCAGAGCATGGTATAAAAGACTAAGCAATTTTATTTTAGAAAATGATTTTACAAGAGGAAAGTTGGATACTACTTTGTTTTGTAAACATTCAAAAATGAAATATATGTTTATGGTATTATATTTGGTTCTGCTAATGCTACCTTGTGCAAAGAGTTTGCTAAGTCTGTATAGGCTGAATTCGAAATGAGTCTGATGGGAAAACTCAAGTTCTTTCTAGGAATGCAGATCAACCAAAGTCTATAAGAGACTTATATCCATCTGAGAAGTTCACCAAAGAACTTCTTAAGAAGTTTGACATGTCAAAATTCAAGACAACCAACACTCCAATGCATCCTACGTGTATTCTTGAGAAGGATAAGGTAAGAAATAAAGTAGATCAGAAGTTGCATAGAGGTATTAATATGTTCTCTATTATATTTAATTGCTTCTAGACTTGAAATTTTATTCAGTGTCTGCTTATATGCTCTCTTCCAGTCAGATCCTAGGGAATCTCACTTAATAGTTGTTAAGAGGATTTTTAGGTATCTAAAAGGTACTACTAATCTTGGTTTGTGTTATAGAAAATAAAGTGAATACAAGTTAGTAGGTAATTGTGATGCTGAGTTCTCTAGAGATAGGCTAGAGAGGAAAATCACTTGTGGAAGCTGGTAGTTTCTAGGAGATAACTTGATCCCATGTTCCAGCAAGAGGCAGATAAAAAAATTACACTATCAACTGCAGAAGCTGACTACATTGCAGCATCTGGATGCAACACTCTGATCCTCTGGATGAAAAGTCAACTAGAAGACTTTCATATTTATGAGAGTAACGTTCATATTCTTTGTATAACACTTATGCTATTTGTTTATCTAAAAATAATATTTTACATTCTAGAGCTAAACATATTGAGATTAAACATAATTTTATATGAGACTATGTTCAAAAGGGAATTTTAAACTTAAAATTCATTGATACTGACCATCAATGGGATGATATCTTTACAAAACCCCTTGTTGAAGATATATTTGTTTTCATTCTGAAAAACTTAAAAATGGTACTTTTTCCAGAATGAAAAAGATGGAAATCTCTAAATGGTTATTTCTCAGAACGTCATAATGAGATTCTGAGATAGTTTGTGTTTCTGAGATGTGAGTTTTCTGAAGTGAGAAGTTCCCATGTATCAGAAGCGTCATAGGTCAGAAGCTTTCCTTTTGGAAAATGTTATGTCTTCTGGACTTTGAAGAGTTTACTCCATTAATAGTTATCAAGAAACACAAATGGTTTGTGATTCAAATTAAAACAAATTTCTTTTATTGAAACACGTTAAACGCCTGATTTGACATATTGAGAGAAGTGATTTGTGTTGGGATTAGGTAAAATATTTTCACTTTAACTCTTGTCAGAATTTTTGCACGATTCAAAATCTTTTTAATCATTTCAAAAATTGTATTTAAACCCACTCACCCTCACTTCACACACTTTCGTAACAGCTATCCAACATATTATCTCTTTCAAGCCCTAAATTTCTCTACAAACAAAATAAAATCCTTTGTGTTCGTGCTCTTTGAAATAACTCAACAACAAGCTTTATATGCTCAACAACAACAAATTATTTCATCCTTTCAACAATCTTCAACGACTCAACCGCAACAACAGGACCAAAAGTAAAAAGGTTTTGTTGATCTGAGTTTGTCCACTCATGTCTCACAGATGGAAGTTTTATGTAAACTACGCGTGGACTTTGAAAATATCAAGGTCAATGGATTTGATTTCACTAAGGATTTATTTTTTCAAAATTAGGAAACTTTCTTCTATTGTCTCAAAGGACCAATTTTTCCTGAACTGGTAAAGAAATTTTAGATTACTTCCAAGGGAACCCCACTGCAAGTTTCAGCCAGTATTGTAGGAGTGAATATTTACATTACACAAAGTTTCATTGCCAAGTTGTTCGATATCGTTGGAAAAGTAAGAAGGTGTTGCAATCTTGGTGACACTGTTAAAAGAATGAAAAAAATTACTGCAAATATTTTTCGAACTAAGAAGAGTTCTAAGTTCGTCAAGGATCTTCAACCTTTTCTCAGAGTTTAGGCTCAGATCATCTAAGACTCTATCTGTCTGCATCAATACTAATGAGAAGTACATGTTGTACTATCAGGCTTCTGGTACAAAAATCAATCTTCCTGCAGTACTTTTCATGTATTTGAGAGATATGATTAGAGAATCCAGAAATTATGCTTCAAAGATCAAGAAATGGACACCTTTGGGAAGACTTATCTCAGATATTCTGGTTGAAAGTGGTTTGGTGAAAGCTCTTTTTTACCAGAACACGAATGAATATTTGGTCACAGCCCTTGGAAAACCATTTAATGGGAGAAATTTAAATCATATGTATTTAACTTCCACTGTTATTGATCCTCTAAGATCTCAGGATCCATAGGCACCATGTTTTACAAGGAAATTTGTCGGAGAGTGTTATCTGTTGACTCGACTGACCTTCTAGAGGTTGTGCTTTACTATCTAGAAAAGTGTGTAGATCAACACGAAACTCCAATTGTGTCTTATGAGGCAATTGTAAATCTTATTAAGAACTTTTCAGGATATGTTTCTGAAAAGGTTCGTCAAAGTATCTATGTTAATGTTGTTGAATCTGGTTTTCTCGATGATCTTCCAGAAGAGCCAGAAGATCCACTTATCTGAGAGAATAGGAAATTTTTCAAGAGCCTCGCAGAAGGATCCTCTGCCTCGGGTAGACCTTCTGCTAAGATTTCCAAAACTTATGCATATTCAAGGTTTTTGAAGCCTGTGAAAATTGAAGTTCCTGACTTTCCTGAAGACCTTGACTTCGGTCCTCCTTCTACAAGTAAGTATTTTTCTTGCACTTCATTTCAAAATGATATTAGTACTTTATCTATTCCCACACCATCATCTTTTATCTCTTCACCTTTTCTTGCCCTTATTTCAAAAACCACTTCCTCTAACACCCTCTTGTCCCAGATTCATGAAACCTCAGCTAGACCAGACTTCCTGTTACACTAGTCATCCTCTAGTGATTATTCAAATGATGTCCATGATATCCCATTTGATTATGAAGAATTGTTTGATATGACCTCTCCATAACACCAAACTGACCCTTCAATAAACACATATCTTAACATGATTAGTACCCCTGTGTTTGACACCACCATGTAATATTTCATGAACCATTCCCCTAGTGACTCTAATTCTTCGAGTGACAATATCCTTGTCTCCTATTTTTCAGTGTAAGTCATATGTACCTGTAATACCCCAAATTTGTCCTACCCTTCTACTTTTATCTGGTTTACGCATTGTCGCACTTTTTGCATGTACATATTTCCATTAGGTCATTTAACATTGCATACATTCGCTAACAACATTTTTGGCACGTGATCAAGGGTCTTGAAAATTAGGGTTCTTGTATGGCTTTGAGGCTCTTATCTTCATTCAAGAGATTCAAGATGCTTCTTCAATATTCATGGTTGGGGATAGGATTTTGATTCGTGGTTGTTGTGGACTTATTTCTTATCAGGCTATAAGGGTATCTTCCCCCAAGTTCATCAGGGGATACAGTCGTTTGTATCGAAGTTACTTCAAGAACTAAGTGCATTAAGATTGTGAAAGCTAGGGTTTCATCAAGGATTCAGATAAAGATATTTTGAGTTAAAACTTGGTTTCTTATCAATATCTCGGTATCATTCAGTCACCAAGGTACATCTCAAAAGGATTAAGGTTCTTATGCATGGAATTCGGATGTGTTAATTCATTCATTCAAGTGATTCCATGAATTCAACCTATTCAAGGACATAAGTTTGGATTTGGCTCATGCTAAATTTGGAAGGTTCAGTCATGTGGTTTGCTTGAAATACAAGCAACAAGTAAAGTGTAAAATTCAAATTGCAAAGCATTTTTCAAGTCCATATTCCAAGAATTCTATACCTTTCATCATCAATTTCGAACTCATTCAGGATCCAAATCATTCATAAAAATTCAAGTTCAATTCACCTGAGCGTTATCATGCTGTGTTCGAATATATCACTGTCTATTTGATCTCACTCAAGCATCAGACCAATTTAAACAAGATTCATCAATGATATTCAAACCGTGTTCATTCCATAAAAAAACAATTACAACTAAATATTTCTCTGTTACATGTCCTTTACATCAAAAAATAATATGAAATAACCATTCCTAAACCTTGACACTCATCCTAAGCCTAGTGATTCCATATTCAACCTTTATCTAATATTCGTGCTCCACTCTTTATGGCCAAAGGTTCTATGTTACAATCTTCACCTAACTTTAAGCTTCAACCATGTTTTCGCTTTCACCTTCATCAACTCCATGGCCAAAGCTTTGCTTTCATCTTCACTAACCTTTGTGTCTAAACTCCTTGCTTCGTCAACTGCCTTGCATTCAAATATCATGCTACGCCTTCACATATTGACCTACACAAAGCAAACAATATAAAATCATGTAAGGTTTTCCATTCACAAAAGTACGAACCATGCTACGGGGACTGCATCCAAACATAACCAAACTTGCCTATGCTGTTATGCCTCGTTGTCCTGCTGTCCGATTTGATTTACCCTAAAACAGTACACTTATGCCACCACAAATACGCTACCTTGTTGTACCTCCTGCCTACCTGCATAAATCAGCCTACCTGCGTAAATCAATACAGAAACAATCATTAAATCAAAACCATCCAAACAACCATTTAACAATTTCTGAACCTCCTAACTATTTTCAAAAACTGAATCCCAATTCCAAAACAGCCCTGCTGTAACTATAACACATACACTACACTTCCAATTGTCAAAACCAATTCCATAACCCAAAAAATAGAGACAGCCCTATAACTAACTTAACCAACCCAAAACAGTTACAACAAACTAACTTAACTAGTAACAAATTTCAAACAGAACTCTAACAAACTAACAGTAATTTCTAACAGATTGATAACTAACCCAACCAACCTCTAACTGTTTTATAAACTGACTCAACAAACTCTAACAGAATGATAACTGAATTGGAAGGAAGAGGATTGATAACAAAAAAATTCACAAAGAAAGAGGACTTACCTTTTCAACTCTGGCGGTACCCTCTCTCCCTCGGATCCATCTTCATCTTCAGCCTTCACCTTCCTTTGATCCTCCATCATCAATACTTCATCAAAACTGCAAACAACTATCATCTGCGTTCATCTTCAACATACACTCATTCTTTCGTCTTTGGCAATCTTCATCATCAACAGCACTCGTTCTGTCAAAATTCAACAACTTCATTACTCCTTCAACAAGAACAACACTGAGTATTATTCAAAAACCAGAGAGATTCATTCACAACAATTATACACACTTATCATTATACGCATTCAGCACACAAACTCAGAGAGAGATATAATTATTCGACACAGAGAAATCAGTTATAGAACTCCCAAGAAATCTCCATCAAACTCTCCCAAAATCGCTCTTCATCATTCTTCATCTACAATCATCACCATCAATCTCACGTTCTTCATAGCATCACCATATTCTTCAATCCGTCAACCTCAACAACCTTCAACAATCATCTTTCTCTCTGAACCGAATCACAATCATTGCAACCGCTTCGCTCTTCATCGTCAACCTTCATTCTTCAACAATAATTTTCATCCACGAAATCAACAACAACATCAACACGCATGATAACTGAGCGATTCGAAAACCGCACGAAGAAGAAGCAAGAAGACGAAGAGAATCGGTGAAGAAGAGTCGCACCATGAGAGAAGAATCGCGACGGTGAAGGTGAAGAGGTTTCCGCCGCCGCGAGAGAGGAGGGTCGGTCTTGGCTTATAGCGGCGCCGTCGTGGAGGAAGAAGGGCGATGCATAGCTTTCTAACCCTAAAACCCCTTTCCAATTTCATATCTTTTCTTTTTAGTTTTAATTGTTGCATTGTTTTATTATTTTTTAATTTAAATTAATAATAATTATGACTAAGTAAATATGGATTGAATGTGGTGATGTTGGACCGAACCTCCTCTAAGGCCCGTTTTGATTTTTATGCCTCAAACTTATGATACAAAAAAAGGCTACTGTTGGACCTCACTTCTGCAATGGGCCTAGCATCAGCTTGCTATACAATACCTCTGGATTCTGCTTGCACCCCAGGCTTATTGTCATTACAATTTCTCTTTTATTTGATTTGATTACTTGCTTAGAATAGAATCTTAATGCTTGTTTACATTTCTTGACATGATAAAATGCAAAAAATATTAGAATAGAATTTTACTTCTTTTATTAACTTTATTTTTTTTGTTATTTTATCCATGTTTTTTTGGTAAATTTTAATGCCAATTTTGTGTGGGATTTTGAAATAAAAAGATACTTGAGTGAGGAGTTTCATGAAGTTTCAAAGCTAGCTAAGAGCATAATTTTCATCAAGGAATTCAAGGAGGCTTCTGTAGAGTTTTCTTATGGCCTACGTGGTTTTGAAGAGGCAACGGACCTTCTCCGTTCGGTATCGTCACAACTCTATTTTATTCTTCATTTCCGTACTTTATCGCAATTCATATGCGTGCTAACATTAGGTAGAATTCCCTCAAAATTCTAACTTTAGGTCTAATGATACATAATAACATTAAGTTTAGAAATAGGCTAGTCTCCCTTAGACTCTTTTCTTCCCCCTTTTACATGTGCATCTAAAACAAAAACTTATTTTCTTAGCAATTGTAACAAAAATACAAAACAAAAATACAAAACAAATTCAAACCATTTTGTGCGCTCGAGCACCTTTTTCAAGGTAACAAAAATACAAAACAAATTCAAACCATTTTGTGCGCTCGAGCACCTTCTCTCTAAAACCCTTTTCAGGTAAGGACATGATTAATTTACTTCTGTGCCAACGCATAAGTCTCCAAAGGTCGAGCTGCAGCAGAAGGCGGAATTAACATTGTCCATAAAAAACACAAACAAACAAAAACATGTGAGCCGAACTACGGTAGCTCTGATTCCTCAAAAAGGATACGTAGGCATTGGGGTAGGGCCCAGGCGAGCACAATTTTATTTTCCCTACATTCTTTTCCCCTTTACTTTGCATGCATTTTCCCTCTAGTAGTATAGTAGACAGTAAGCATAGATTAAACACACCCATAAGATAGATAACAAGAGTGGATACCGTAGAGTACTACGGGCGTGTGGGGTGCTAATACCTTCCACTCGCGTAACAGACTCCCTTACCCGATCTCTCGGTCGCAAGACCGTGACTTCTCCCTTCTCAGGTTTTCTCGATGTTTACCTTTCCCTACATGTGGGATAAAAGACGTTCGATGGCGACTTCATTGTTTGATGATTTTCAGCCGGTTGTTTCAGTACCTACCAAAATGAACCCACATGAGGTTATCTTCATCCCCTAATATTCTGAAGAAGAAATTTTTGAAGATCATAGGCATACCAGATAGAGTTTCTAAACCTTATTCCACTCCATCTGACCCTTGTTTCCTCCCAACGGATGTACGTCTAACACTCATCGATGAATTATTAAATCAATTTGAATTTGATGCTCTAGATAAACTTTGTTCCTTGGTGGATAATTGTAATGATTGTGGGGATCCTAATGAAAGTAATGCCATCTAGCATGACTTCATATGATGGATGAATTCCAGCACTACAGAACTTCTTCTTCTGCTTCAAGGATGTTATGAGAAAGGTCAGTGTGAGACTTGTTGCCAAATAACATACCACCTCCTCTAGTGCTTCTCCTTACAGCACCATAATCTGAACTTCCTTTGGCAGTTTCTGACCAAGAGATCCATTCAGAAGACTCTAGAGATTGGTACTTCCTCTAGAGAGTTGAAGACCTCTACTTCTTGCTCTGACATTGTGCCTCCTGTGATCAAGGAAACTCTGGATAAGCTCAGAAGAAAGAATGTGTTTGTCAGACAGTTTCTGACAAACAAGATGATAGATTCAAGGAGAAAGCTAAAACCAAATCTATGATCACCAACATGCTCAGAGACATCATGTCAAGACTGTCTTCTCCTCCTCCTCCACCACGAACTTAGACCCTTTTTTTACCTTTGAGTTAAGAACTTAGTTTTTTTTCACTTTTAAAAATATGTACTTGTGATACGGTGGCAGAACCGACTGTTTATATTGGTTTATGTTTTTTGTTCGCAAATGTCACGGTAAGCAAAAGTCGCCACCGACTTTTATTTTATCCAACAAAGGAAAGGGTGAAAAGAATAGAAAAAAACCTTTTTCAAGATTTTCTGAGTAAGGGGGTAGATTATGGAAAGGGAATATGTTAGCACCCTTTCCATCTGTAGTTTTCTACGGGCTCTTAGGTACTTGCTCATTTTGAAAATTGCTTTCGTGTTTTGAAAATTATTTTGAAAATGCCTTAGTGCAGAGATTCGCTTTGATAACTCTTGTATCAGTCCTCAAGAGTGTTGACAAGGCGAATGTTTTTTGAAGTGTTTTTTTGAAAATATTTTGGTGTAGGTGCAAAAAGTTGTTTTGAGCAAGCATCTAAGATCTTATCTACTTATACTCGAAAAGGTCGTTCTTTTCTCCCTATCCTTTAGACAATGCTATCCTACTATTAGTGAGTAGGTAGCCCTATCGTTGGACGTATGAGGGATAAGCGCGGGTCATCGTTATGGTCATAGAAGGCAACATATAGGGATACCTTAGCAGTTCTAAGAGACTGTCACCATATATTTGTAGGCAACATTGAGGGACAACATCATCTCTCATAGGCAATTTGAGGGACATTGAGGGACAATGATCTTTATGATAACTTTAACCGAGGGTCTTTGCTAAGGGTATCCCTACGTTCGAGGGACATGACCATTATTTTTCCGAAGACAACAAGTGAGGTTACCCTAGAGGTGCAAGTGTGCAACAGATTCATTTTGGTTATTTATCTTGAAATTAGGGTTTTCTATCGCTTATTTTTATCTTTCCATACAATCCTATTAATCTAAGCATTGCATAAAATATAGTAGCTGAAGGTAAAGGCGGAAATGTAAACCTAGGCTATTACAGAGCTTTGGGGCAGTTACATAATAGTGAAGAGTGCAGAAAAGAAATCCTAAAACTATTACATCTCAGAAGCAATTACATGATAATGATAAAAAATGCGGGAAAAATAAAGCTACTCTATTACAGTTGAACGCGCCCTATACACTTTATCTAGGAAAATAAAAATAAGATGAAAATAGCAAAGAAAATGTTTTGGTGATTTTTTATGAAAAAAAATAATTTATGATAATTAATTAAATAAACCTAAAAAACCTAATTAATTTTAATTAATAAAAAATATTAATTTTGAAAAAAGTTAATTGAAATACCTAAATCCTAATTAGTTTTAATTAATAAAAAAAGGTTAATTTTGAAAGGAAAAAAAGGTTAATTAAAAAAACCTAAAACCTAATTAATTTTAATTAACAAAAAGGTTAATTTTGAAGAAAAAAAAGGTTAACTAAAAAAACCTAAAACCTAATTATTTTTAATTAAAATAAAGGTTTTAAAAAAGTTTATGTTTAATGATTAAAAAAAGGATTAAGTTTGTCAAAAAATAGTTAGAGGAAGAAGCATCAATGGAAAACTGGGTAAGAAAATACAAATAATGCAAATGTCAGGGGTGGGTGTTGAACCAAAAATTAATTTAAAACCTAAAATTAAATTAAAAAAACCTAAAATTAATTATTCGAGTTTATTATGAAATATCAAAGATTTGTGAAAAATATTAGGTTTTATGAAAAAGGTTTTAAACAGAAAGAAAAATAGTTAAAAATAGAATGAAAAAAAACCAAAACCAATAGAGGTGGGTGTTGAATGCACGCCCTTAACCTCCTCAAGATGTCTGCCTTGCCATGCATTGGTGGTTGTTATGATCCGACCTCAGTGTTTTGTAATAACCCTACATGGGACCATGTCTAAATCTGCAACGTTGAATCTCATGAACACATTAAATAAATTACTATATCATGAAATACAAAGAAATAAAATATATGAAACTTTGTAATGTTAAAACCGATATGGTATGTATGAATGCTTGTACACCCTTTTGACCATGGAGATCAAACCAGCCTTACCCTTACTGGAGAAGTAGTGAGATGGAGATTTGTAACAAGGATGACTTGTTTGTAGTAAGATGGGGGTGTGTAACAAGGATGGCTTGTTTGTAGTGAGATGGGGGTTGGTAACAAGGATGACTTGTTTGTAGTGAGATGGGGGTTTGTAACATGGATTTCAAGATTTTTAGGGTTCTTGAAAGAATTTGATATTTTGACAGGGTTGTGGCAAAGGTTTTTTTCGTCGTGTATGTCTGAAAAGAATAAGATTATATAATGGAAATTAGAGCAAAGATATGGGCTTTGAATGTGTAATTGGGCCTCCAATAACCACAAGCAATAGTGCGGATTTTTACTCACTTGAGTCTGACACATTCCAGGCTAAATCGCAGGGACTTAAGTGCAATTTTTAAAGTTTAAATGTGAAAATAAAATGTAGCCAACATCGAGAACTAACTCATGTCTGAAAATGGGCTTAATAGGATAAACGGTGAATTAGTTATGACAATTGTGACCTGGAAGAATGGATTTTTCCAACTATCAGCGGAGGACTCAACAACTGGGAAGCCAAAGAATATGTCCCTATTACTTTTATCCAACATTAATTGTCTTTAAATTTTTGTCAGACTTGTAATAATTAAGCAATTTAGACCTTTAAAACCTCGTGTCTTACCCAAGGCACAGCGGTCCATTTGTAAGGGTTGTTACTTCATTTTCATATGTCATCAATGAATCATGGACGTTTTGCATGCAAATTTTACGCTCTTTATTTTTATTTTTTCTACATGTTTATGTTTTCAAAAATAGCTATGCTCTTACATACACTCACATATCAAAATGCATATCCACATCCACTCAGGATCCCATGGGTAACGAT